GCTTCCACCAAGGCCGCCGCTCGGGGCGCCGCCGTCCGCGCCTCGAGGACTTCCACCGCCCCCGAGCTCGGCGCCGCTCGGGGCGCCGCCGGCCGCGCCTCGAGGACTTCCACCGCCCCCGAGCTCGGCGCCGCTCGGGGCGCCGCCGGCCGCGCCTCGAGGACTTCCACCGCCCCCGAGCTCGACGCCGCCGCGGCCGCCGCCCTCGGCGACGATGCCGCCGCCGGCCGCGCCAGGCGCGCCGCGAGTACCTGCAGGGGCTCCGCCGCGGCCGCCGCCGCCCAGCGCTCCGGGCGCTCCGGGCGCTCCGCGACCCCCGCCGCCGGCTGGGCTCGCGCCGCGCGCGCTGCCGCCGGGCCGAGGGCCGCCGCCCACGGCCGGTTTACCGCCGCGCCCAGCGGGCGCGCCGCCCGGGATGCCTCCGCGACCGCCGCCGCCGAGTGCTGGACTTCCCCCGCGGCCTGGAGGTCCTCCGTCGATACCCGTGCAGAACACGTGCGACTTCAAAATGTGGGCTGCGAGTCGCTTTGTCGAGAGGTCGCTCGACGAGACGTGTGCCTTTCGGCATGGTCGCTTTGTCGAGAGCTCGATGAGAGAAGAAGGCAACTCTTCGACGCACGTAGGCCCGGCCGCCCACCCCCCGGCGCCGTCCCCGGCCGAGGGCCGCCGCGGTCCCCGCCGCCGATCGGATCCATGCCCGGCCGAGGCCAACCCCCAGGGCGCCCGCCGCCGGGGCCGCCGCCGCGAGGCGCTATCCCGGGCAAGGGCGGCCCGCCGCGCGGACCGCCGCCCGTGGGCGCCATCGGCCGCGGCCCGCCGCCGCGGGGCCCACCGCCCCGCGGCCCGCCCCCGACGGGCGAACCGCCGGCCGCTTCGCCCCCCGCGGAGCCCGAGCCCGAGAAGGAGCAGGCGGCCGACGCGCTCATGCCCTACCTGCCGCCGAACATGCCGCCCGTGCTCGACAGCGGCGCGCTCGGCGCCGAGGAGCCGCGGCCCGAGCCCAAGCCCGGCGTCGTCCGCGCCGGCGCGCTCGCGGGCTTCCTGCTCGTCGGCGGAAAGAAGAAGTGGTGCGTCCTCGACGGCGACGACCCCCTCGACGCCGCGCTGGTCGTCGCCGACGACGCCGAGGCCGTCGACGACGGCGCGCGCTATTCGCTGTCCAAGGTGGAACTCGAGCGCCCGAAGAACAAGGGCAAGCGCGTCGACGTCTTCCGCGTCAAGCACGGCGACGAGGCCTTCGTCGTGCGCGTCGCGCCGCCCGAGGCCAAGGCCAAGGACGACGGCGAGAAAGAGAAAGAAGACGCCGTCCCGCTCCAGGACTGGGTCGCGACGTTGAACGCGCGCCGCGCGGACGCCGTCGCCGCGGCCGAGGCCGCGGCCGCCAAGGCGCCGTCGACGCCGTCGCCGCCGCCGTCGCCGCAAAAGCCCGGGCCCGAGGAGGTGACGCTGAACTTGGACGACGAGCTGGGCGTCGTCGTCCGCGAGGTCGACGGCGGCCGATTGGTCGTGGCGGCCGTCGCGCGCGGCTCGCAGGCCCAGACCCTCGTGCGGCCCGGATGGGAGATCGTCGAGTGCGACGGCGCCGAGGTCCGCGGCCGCGACGACCTCGAGGACGCGCTCCGCGACGCGCTGCCCGCCGGCCGCGCGACGGTCGGCTTCGAGCGCGCGCCCGACCGCGGCGACGCGGACCTCGACTTCTCCTACGACTGCTTCGACCTCGACGACCTCGTCTGCGGCGCCGCCCACGAGCCGCCGCCGCCGCCGCCGCCCGTCGGCGCCGAGCTCTCCGGCGCGTCGGGCCGCGTCGCGGCGACGCTCGCGGGTCTCAAGGGCGCGGCCGCGCCGGACGGCATGATCGGCGGCTACACGCGGAGCGAGCTCACGAAGACGAAGTTGAGGACGCCCAAGGTCTCCGTGCGCAAGCTCGCCCAGTACGTGCGCTGGATCGACGCGAGCGGCGTCTGGCCGAACCCGTTGACCGTCGACCGCGTGCACGGCGAGCTCCGCAACGGCTTGCTGTTGTGCCGCCTCATGCAGCGCCTCGTGCCGGGCACGACCTACAGCCGCCTCCACCACAAGCCGCGGTCCAAGGCCGTCTGCATCGCGAACATCGAGCAGGCGCTGGGGGTCGTCTGGCGGTCGGGCCGCGTGAACAACAGCCTCGTCGCGTCCGCGGCGCAGATCTACGACTGCTGCGAGAAGAAGCCGGACCGGGCCAACGTGCTCCTGCGCGAGATCTTCGACGTCTACGTCTTCCGCGAGCTCAAGAGGAAGGGCGCGCGCGTGCTGGCGTGGTACGACGACGTTTTGGCGCGCGCGAACTTCGGCGCCGCGCTCCCCGAGGCGGCGGCGAAGCGGCCCTTCGCGGGGCTCTGGGACTTCTTCGAGGACGGCGCGGCGCTGGGGACCGTGCTCAAGTACTTCGTCGGGCCCAAGGCGCTCGCGGCGGGGGAAGAGCGAGAAGGCTTGAGCAGCTACGAGGTCATCAAGAAGGATTTGGATGATATCTTCGAGCTCCTGCGGTCTTTGGACGTGCCCGTGCTCTGGACCGCCGACGACTGGGCGACGTTCCCCGACGACGAGTTCGTATTGGCCCAGCTCGACGCGGTCTACGAGCGGTTCCGCGACTGCCAGTGCGCGGTGCCCCAGGATTTGGAAGCCGTGGACCTGGCGCTCCACTCGGAGAGCGCGCGGGCGCGGTCCCTGCTCGGCGACGACCTGGGCCCGTCGCCGCCGACGTCGCCCGCGTCGCCGCGGCCCGCGGCGCCGTGTCGCGACGAGATCGCGCTGCCGCGGGTCCTCGAGGGCAACCACGACGCCCACTTCTTCAGCGACGCCTTCGCCCACGTCGAGCGCGACGGCGCGGACTTCGAGGGCGCGCTCCACGACGACGCGTACACGCGCGCGGACGGCGTGCCGACGACCGTGAAGGAGCTCGCGGCCGCGCGAGAGCACCTCGCGGATTTCGGCGAGCGGGGCCGCCGCGAGCTCAAGCACAAGCGCGCGGCGGCGGACCTGCGGCGGAAGATGCTCGCCATCGCGGACCTGCCGAGCCCCGAGAGAGACGCGCGCGAGGAGGACGTCGACCGCGAGTTCGAGCTCCTGGACGCCGCGGCCGGGGACCTCGAGCGGCGGCTGCGCGACGAGGCCGACGAGCTCGACAAGGCCGAGGCGGGCCTCGTGGCGGGCCCCGTGCGCGTGCGGCCCGACGACTTCGGGAGCCCCGCGAAGCGCCGCGAGCGGCGCCGCGAGCGCCTCGCGAACGAAAAGGCCGTCCGGGCCCAGGAGAGCGGCTGGGTCGCGACGGGCACGAAGTGGGAGACGCACAACCTGCTCATCCGCAAGGCCATGAACCGCGTGCCCGACGGCGACGAGCCCCCCGCAAAGGAGAAGACGGAGGCGCCCAAGGACAGGGAGGACGTCATGTGGGACTTCTTCCGCCACCGGCTCCGCGAGCGGCAGGACGCCTACTTCAAGAAGCGCGACGCCGAGGTCCAGCGGGGCCTCGAGGAGCTCCGGCGCGAGCACGACGCCGCGCCGCCGGCGCCCGTGCTGGAGACGCTCGACGACGACGACCCCCAGCGCCTCGTGCTCCAGGTCCAGCAGTCGATCCGCAACGAGGAGCTGCGCCTCTTCGCCCTCGAGGAGGAGCGCACGCTCGTCGCGCTCGACGTGCGCGCGGGCGCGCCGCTCCGCGACGTCGACCCCTTCCGCGCGGCCGTGAAAGCCGGCGGCCGGCCCGAGTCGCCGACGCGCGTCTTCGACGCGCTGCACCGCGAGCCGCCCAAGGCGCGCCGCGAGACGCCGCCGCTGCCGCCGGCGGAGACCTTCCTCCACGACGCGCGCGTGCTCGCCCTCGTGGAGCGCAACAGCGAGCGGCCCTTCCTCGTCCGCGTCGTCTCCGCGGTTTTGGACGACGGCCAGCTCCGCGAGCTCCGCGCGTACGCGGCGGACGACGAGTCGGGGAAGCCCGCCCTCGCCTGGAGCGACGAGGACAGCGGCGACCTCGTCGGCTTCGCGATCCTCGACGAGGTCGCGTCCGTCGCGCCGGGCCGCGACCCGCGCGTCTTCAAGCTCGCGCTCAAGCCCATGAACCCGCGCGCCGTGAAGAACTCCGGCGGCCTCCGCACGATCTGCTTCCGCTGCGACGACGCCGCCGACGCGCGCAAGTACCACGCGGCCCTGGCCGCGCTCGCGTCCGCCATCTAAGGGGCGCATCTCGCGGCGGGAGTCGCGCGTTCACGACGGGGAGCCCGTGCAGATTCGGCGCGCAGCCCATCCTCGTGCGGGAGAAAATGCACTTAACTTGCGCGCGCGCGCGGCGCGCGAACTGTCATATAAACGAATTCCGTGTGCGAATTTGGTGGCGGCCGTCAAGAGAAAAAGGCGGCGCTGTCCGCGGCGTCGCCGGGGCGCGCCCCGTCGTCCGAGCATTGGACGAGGACGTCATCAATCTCGGGGATCATGTCGGCGCCGTCGCTGTCGTGGTCGGTGTTGGCGCCGTCGCTGCTCTCGATCGTACTCAGGCGCGCCGGCGGTCCCGGGGCCATGCTCGGGCGGCCGTCGCCCGTGACGGAGTCCCGGAGCTCGAAGCGGACGAACTTGCCGACCGCCGATGACGCGTCGGTGCTCGCCGTCAAGCGGTCCATCGCCGCGCGGGTGTAGCCGACGCCGGCACCGGCCGCGCGGCGACCGGTGAAGTCGTTGGCGGGCGCCGCGACCGTCGGCGAGTTCGGGGGGAGCGAGGTTTGCGGGGGGAGCGAGGTCTGCGAGCTCTCGCGCATGACGTCGCGGGTGGCCACGGTGATGGAGGACGGGCGCTCGATGGGGAAGTGGCTCGGGAAGTAGGACAGGTGCGTGAGCTGCGGGTCGAGCTCGGCCTTGGCGAGGGGCGCGGTGGTGGCGTAGAAATCGCCGGGCCGCGCGTCGATCTCGCGCTCGAGGTCCTCGAGGAGCTCCTCGCGGGCCTCGACCTCCGCGGGCGGGGCCGGGCAGAAGCCGTGGATCGCGAGGTCGAGGCCGACGAGCTCGTGGGCCCGGGGCACGCGGACGGTCGAGACGCGCGAGACGAGTTCCAGCGAGAGCCGCGTCGCCACGGCGACGAAGGCGGCGATGGCGACGGCGCCGTAGATCTGGATCCCGAGGAGGGGAGACTTAAAGTCGTTGAGGAGGCCGACGTGCCGGAGGGCCCGCGTGCCGCAGCGCGTGCCGTCGAAGGGCGCGTTCGTCGCCACGAGGCCGAGGAAGACCGTGCTCGCGAAGCCGCTCGCGCCGTGGACGGCGATGGCGCCGATGGCGTCGTCGATCTGGGCGTGGACGACGGCGCGGGCCGCGGCGACGTAGGCGCCGCCGCCGACGACGCCCGCGAGGAAGGACGCGGGGTAGGTCGTGTGCGCGCAGCCGCAGGAGCTCGCGACGAGGCCCGCGATGAGGCCGTTGCACAAATTGTCGATGGAGACGCGCTTCGACCGCGCGACCATCGCGTCGTAGGCGTAGGTCGCCGCGCCGCCGCCCGACGCGGAGAGCACCGTCGATATCGCGATGCCGCCGACGGTCTGCGCGTCCGCGCCCGTGATCGCGAAGGTGCTGCCCGTGTTGAAGGCGAACCAGGAGCAGAAGAGGAGGAAGCTCCCGTAGAGCATGTTCGTCGCGGACCGCAACGTGAAGTAGGGCAGCCCGCGGGCCGCGATCTGCTCGCGGACGCCGAAGAGGCCGCGGTAGTAGCCGTCGGGCGCCATGCGCCCGCCGTGGAGCAGCCACCCCGCGGCGCCGCGCGGCGCCTCGTAGTCGGGGAACCGCCCGATCCGCGGGCCCACGAAGCTCGCGCAGACGATCGCGCTGACGCCGCCGACGAGGTGGACCGCCGAGGACCCCGCGAAGTCGACGAAGCCGGCCTTGTGGAGCCAGCCGTCCGGGTCCCAGCACCAGTGGGCGACGATGGGATAGATGACGGCCGTCGTCGTCACGGAGAGCAGAAGGTAGCCTGGGCAGCACAAGGGTGATTCAACGTCGCTTCAACGTGAGTGTTCCGCGCGCGCGCGTTCCGGGAAAAGCATCCACGCTTCGAGACCGTTCCGAGAGATGATCGCTCGTCCAAAAATCAGCCGAAACGAGTGGAAAATGGCCGAGATCGGAGCCTTTGAAGTTGGGAATTTCGCTCTCTTGTCCTGCCCTGGAGGTAGCTCCGCTCGGACATCCTCTCCGCGACGCAGCCGCTGTCGATCGTGCTCGCCGTCGCCGCGAAGCTAAAGTGGAACATGAAGTCCACGGGGTCCCGGGCGAACCGTACGGGCCAGAGGCTCCCGAAGCACCATTTGAGAGCCGCGCCTTTCCGCCGCTCGCCGAACGCGAGCTGGTAGCCATAGAGGAAAAAGGCGACGGACCCCAGGATGAGGTCGAGGACATTCTTGGCCATGATGGACGCGACGTTGTCGTCGCGCACCATGCTCGCCTCCAGGAGCCCGAAGCCGCCCTGCATGCTCAGCAAGAGGATCGCAGAACGCATAAGCCAGGCGTTGTCGCCGCCCTTCCGCTCGAAGACCGAAGTCCCCTCGCGGCACTGGAGGGTCGCCTCGTCGACCGCGTACTCAACATCCGTCCCGGAAAATCTCAAGGTCACGGGTGGCTCCGCGTGCTCGTCGAAGTAGCTCCGCCGGACGCAGCCCACGGGCGAGCCCTCCTCCAGCACGACGACCTCGGACGTGTTGCAGAGCCGACTCCCGGCGGCGCTCAGCGCGAAGGCGACCGCGACCCAGGCAGCCGCCCGCGGCCGCCCCATCGTCCGCTCAGGGGCTGCCCGTCAGACCGCGACCCAGGCGGCTGCCCGCGGCCGCCCCATCGTCCGCTCAGGGGCTGCCCGTCATGCCCGGCCCAGAAAGGCAAAGTTCAAATTGAAGTCCTCACAGCCTGACACAGGCAGCCCGCTCGGCCTATGGAGCTGGTCAGCGCTCGCAAGAGGCCAGGAGAGCCAACATAGGCAGCCCGCTCGACGATGGAGCTGGTGAGGGCCCGCCGAACGTCGGCGCGCGCCCTCGCTTGCATCGCTTGCATGCTCCTCGCACCCAGCCACGACGGCGCGTCGGCCTACGTCGTCGTGTCGCGCTGCGACGGCGCGCGCTGCGCGGACGCGCCGATCGCCTGGGCGCGGAACCCGAAGACGGGGTCCACGGTGGTCGTCGAGGACGTGCTCGGCATCTTCGCGCCGCGCGCGCGGAAGGCGCCGCTCGTGGACTGCGGCGGCGGGCGCCTCAACATGACGACGCGCCACGAGGTCGGGTGCGTGGCGCCGTGCCCGCCGCGCGCGCCGCTCGCGCTCGCGCCCTTTGCGACGCGCGCGGACGCGAACGAGACCGCCGCGCTCATCGGCGCGGATTTGAGGTTCACGGTCGTCCGCGAGCCGGTGGACCGCTTCGCGAGCGCCTGGGCCTACCTCCAGGCGAGGCACGCGGACGTCTGGGGCCGCGACCGCGTCGACGCGTTCGTCGAGGCGCTCTACGATGGCGCGGGCGCCGCCGGCCTCACGGCGGCGAACCTCGTCGCCCTGCGCGGGAACCACACGATCGCCCTCTGGCCCCAGAGCTACTGGGTCGACGCCGTGCTCGCGAACAAGAGCGGCACCGCGGCCCTGATCTGTTACGACAAGGACGCGCTCGTCGACGACGTCGTCGCGCTCTTCGCGGACGAATTCGGATGCGCGCGGACCGCGGCACCGCCGCGCGAAAACGCCACGGCGGAGCCGCCGCGGGAGAACGAGCGCGCGCGCGACGTCGCGCTCGCGCCCGCGACCGAGCGCCGCATCCGCGCGCTCTACGCGCGCGACGCCTACGTCTGGGAGACGTACTGCGGCGCCAAGGTCGACGGCGACGCGGACGCGGCCGCGGACCTCGTCGACGCGCGGCTCTGCGGCGCGGCGCGGCGGAGAAGGGCCGCCACGTCCGGGCCGCGACGACGTCGGGGCGTGCCGTAAAATCTAGAGGGTACCGAGTGCAGCGCTTCACCTGCGAGCCGCGACGACGACGAGGCGCGCCCGGCGCGCCGTAGGAGTGAAAATTAGAGGGTCCCGAGCGCGCCGGAGCAGCGCTGCATCTCCGCGGTGATGTCGTCGGGCGACACGCCGGCCTTCTTGAGCTTGGCGTCGACCTCGGCCTGGTTCTCGACGCCGAAGAGCACGCGGGACGCCTCCGCGCGCGCCGCGCCGCGCTCCATGATGGCCTGCTCGTTGCGGATGAGCAGCTCGACGACCGGGTCCGCGGCCCGCGGCGGCTCGAGGTCGAGCAGGTCCGCCGTCGGCGCCGGCGGCGGCGCGGGCGCGGGCGCGGGCGCGGGCTGGCGGACGACGGCGGGCTCGCGCGCCGCGAGCTCGACGGCGACGCGCACGGCGCGGTCGTAGCGGTCGCGCCGCGCGCCGCCGGACGCGATGCGCGCGTCGGCGTCGCTCGCGGCGATGAGGGGCGACTCCGTGACCGTCGCCGGCCGCGACGCGGCGCGCTGCTCCATGAGGCGTACCTGGGCCCGCGCGTTGCGGTTCGCCGCGTCCACGTCTTTGAGCGACTTCTCGTAGAGGAAGTCGCGGAGCGCGCGCGACGACGACGGGCAGCAGCTGTCGACGATGAACATCGTTTTGGTGGGCGCGACGGCGTGCGCGGAGCAGCAGCAGCGGCAGAGGCCAAGAAGCGCCCGGAGAAGGCCATCCTTGACGCCATGATGCAGTGCTCGCGCACTAGCACGCCGTGGCCGCCGAAAGAACCAAGCGAACTCAAACACGACCTTACGTGAAGCCGTAGGCGGCCATGCGCGCGCGGGAGACGCCCGCGGCGTTGTCGGGCTTCGCGCCGTCGCCCCTCTTCGCGAGCGCGCGGCCGTCCTTGTGCGTGCGGCCGTCCTTGGGCTTGCGCGTGCGCGCGCGCTTCCTCGGCGCCTCGGCCTCGGCCTCGTCGTCGGCGCCGCGGTCCTTGGCCTTCTTCTTGTCGCGCTTCTGCTTCTTCCGCGCGGCCTCGTACTCGGCGACGCGCGCGGCCTTCTTCTCGGCCTGGTCTTTGCGCCACTTCTTCCGCTTCGACGCCGACACCGCGTACTCGCCGTCGCGGTAGGGCGCGAGGCGCTTGATGGACACGAGCTGCTGGAGCTCCTTGTCCGGCGTCTCGAGGATCTCGTCCACGGACAGGCCGTAGTCAGCCTTCGGGACCGCGGCGTACTTGAACCGCGTGGGCAGGTCGCCGATGAGGTCCTCGTGGTCCATGGCGTCGAGCGCGTCCCGCGCCTTCTGCTTCACGGCCGCGAGCACGGTGGACTCGTCGAGCGCCGCCGCGGCGGAGGACGCCGCCTCGTCCTCGTCGTCCTCCTCCTCTTCCTCCTCGTCCTCCGCGTCGTCGTCGTCGCTCCACGTGGGCTTCTCCAGCGCCTCGGCGTCGCCGTAGTAGTCGTCGCCGAAGGCCGCGGCCATCTGGGCGTCGTAGGCCTCCGGGTCGAAGTCGTCCTCGAGCGTCGCGGCCGTCAGCGCGCCGCCGCCCGACTCGGCCGCGACCTTGGCGATCTGCGCCTCGAGCTCGACCTTCTTCAGGTTCTTCAGCCGCCGGAGCTCGGCCTCCTTGCGCCGCCGCTCGCCGGCCTTGCGCTCCTTGCGCTCCTCGCGCTTCTTCCTGCGCGCGTCGTCCTTGCGGCGCATGGACCCGACGACGTCGCGCGCGTGCGTCGCGATCTCCGACGATCCGGCCTGCTCGAAGCGGAAGTTGTACTTGGCCTCGAAGGCGTCGGTGGCGTCGAGCTGGTCGAGGTCCGCGGCGTCGTCGACGTCGCCCTCGTCGTCGGACGGCGCCTCGGCCCAGCGGCGCTGCCGCACGAAGTCCGCGAGGAACGCGTCGGCGTCGGTCTTCGTCGCCGAGAACGCCGCGAGCTCCGCCCGCAGCTTCGCCTCGTCGGCCTCGGCCGCGGCGTCCGTCGGCGCGACGGTGGCCGCCTCGCGCACGCGGAAGAGGTCGCCGTCGTCGCCGCCGTTCAGCTCCGCGAGGAGGCCCTTGCGGAGGTCGCGTTGCTCCGCGTCGTAGGCCAGCGGCGGCGCTTCCTCCGGCGCCTGGTCCTCGTCGAGGCCGCCGGCGAGGATCTGGGTCCGCGCGACGTCCTTGTAGGTCTGGGCCCTGGGCTGCTTCGCCTTTTGCGGCCGCGGCGCGGGCGCGTCGAAGAACTCGACGCCGCGGTCGTAGATCTTCGGGTCCTTGCGGCGGATGGCGTTGATGGTCTCCAGGATCTTCACGTCCATGCCGCGCGTCAGCTCGACGGCGTCCTCGTCCTCGCTCTCGCTGCTCGACTCGTCGGACTCGCTGCCGTCGGCGCCGAGGGCCTTGCCCCGCGCGTCGAGCCGCTTCTTCTCGCGCTTCGCGAAGGACGCGGCGAAGGACTCGTTGACGCGGAGCTTGTCGTCGTCGTCGGACTCCGAGTCGGAGCCGAGCACGTCGCGCTTCGCGGGCATGCCGCCGTCGCTGTCGTCGTCGGAGCTCGACGAGGAGGAGCTCATTGTCGCCGAGTGCTCCTCGGCAACATAGCTTCAATATAGCATCGACTGCCGCATGAACTCCCTAACAGGCGTCGGCGGCGGCTAGCATCGATAATGGGCCTTCTCGTTTTGTTGCAGCTCGTCGCCGGCGCGACGGCTATGCCCGTGCCGAGCCAGCGCGCGCGGAGCCGCGATCTCGCAAAGGCAGACTGAAGAAGGAGCTGCCCAGATGGCCTGCGGCGCTCCGCAACGGCGATCGACGCATGTCCATCGGCGCACTAGCCGTGGCGGTGTGATTCGAGGTGCGGGGAAGACCTCGCTGAGCTTCAACTTATGATGTTGGCGTTCGCAAGCAGGCCGGTCATCTCGATCGTTCGCAAGCAGGCCGCCAATGGACGCAGAATTCCAAAATCTTGTCCCGATGGCTCCCGGACACACTCGAAATACGCGCGCGCCGCGCCGCACGAGCCGCACGTCGCCCCTGCGCACGCTCACGACCCTCGCCTTCGCCTTCGCCGCCCTCCCCGGCGCGTCGGCCCTCGCCCCGCCGCCGACCCTCGCCCAGGCCGACGCCTTCCACGTCCACTACGGCGCGGGGAAGCTGGGCCTGGGCCTCGTCGTCCCCGCCGTCGCGGCGGCGGGCACGCCCCTCGCCGTCGTCCAGCGGCCGTCGGAGAAGTGGGCGGCGCTCGAGGGCCCGTTCGACCTGCGCGTCAACGGCGACGTCGTCGTCGAGGGCGTCGCCCGCGTCGACGCGCTCGACGCGTCCCCCCCGCCGGCGGTGTCGTTCGTCCTCGACGACGACCCGGCGCACCTCGCGGCCCTCGCGGGCCGCGCGACGTCGTTCTCGTGCTCGCTCGGCGGCGCGATGGCCGACGAGATGGCCGCGGCGCTCGGGTCGCTCCCCGTGCGCGACGACCCGCCCGTGCTCTACTGCGCGGAGAACGACCACGACGCCGTCGCCGCGCTGCGGGAGACGCTCGCGGGCCGCGCGCGCGTCGTCGACTGCGTCGTCGACCGGGTCTGCACCGCGGCCGACGTCTCGGCGAGCGCCGTCGACGTCGCCGCGGAGCCCTGGGGCGGGTCCATCTGCGTCGTCGAGCCGGGCCTCGACAACTCGCCCTTCGACGACCGCGCGACGCTCGCGGCCAGCGCCGAGCACGCGGCGTTCCTCTCGAAACGGAAGGCCTCGCTCGTCAACGGCATGCACACGGTGCTCAGCTTCCTGACGCTCCAGGAGGTCGGGCCCGACGGCGACGCGACGCTCCTCAAGTACAGCGACATGCGCCGGTCGAACCAGCGCCTCGTCGAGGCCTGGCGCACGGTCCGCGTCGCGGAGCTGCTCGAGGAGTTCGGGGCCGACCGAGTGAACGCGTGGGGGCCGGGGCCGGGCCTGCCGGTGCAGGCCTGGTGCGCGCTCCTCGACTTCGCCGACGAGGTGCTCGTGGAGCGCTTCTCCAAGGTCGACGACCGCGTGAAGCGCGTGCTCGGCGGCGGCGTCGAGGACCGCTTCGAGACGCGGCTCATGCCCGCGGGCGACTGGGTGCTCAAGCACGGCGCCGCGCACCGCGAGTTCTTCCTCTTCGCCGCGAAGCGCGACCGCGAGCGCGCGCGCGCGCGGCGCCGCGCGCGGCCCGCCTTCGTCTTCGCGGAGTCGGACCGCATCGAGCCGCCGCGCGTGTCGCCGCGCATGGCGCTCCGCCGCGCGCGGCTCGCGTGCGTCGAGCTCCTCATCGAGGCGCGGCCCTTCTGCTCCAAGGAGCAGATGATTTTGCATCCCCCGAAGAAGGCGTCGAAGCGCCGCCGCGCCGCGTCCGCGATGCAGCGCTGGTGGGCCGACAAGACGAACGGCGACGAGCCCGCGCCCGCCTACAGCCGCTAGGCCGCCCCGCCTCGCCCCCGGTTTCTACCGGCGGCGACGCGGGCCGGCAAGGCGACAGACGACCCGGCCCCGCGTCGCCCCCGGTTTCGACCGGCGGCGACGCCGGCTCGGCGACGACCCGGCCCCGCCTCGCCCCCGGTTCGCCGGCAGCGACGCGGCGGCCGACCAGTTCCCCGGAGTTCCCATCCCCGGCCCCGCCCCCGCTTCGCCGCCCCGCTACGGGCCGGCGAACGCGGCGGCACCCGCAGACACGCTCTCTAAAACTTGCAGAACGGCCGCGAGCGTCGATGGTGGTTAAAGGTGGCGCGCCGCGCGTCGCGGCGCGCCTACTTGGCGTCGGCGGTGTCCGTCGTCCGCGCCGTGGCCATGTCCTCCTCGCCGTCCTTGCCCTCGGCGCCGGCCTTGGCGCCGGCGTCCGCGCCGCCGTCCTCCATGACGAGCTGGAGCTGGACCATCTCCTCGAACATCATGGACTGGATCTCCTCCTTGGGCAGCGCGTCCTTGCCCTCGTCGGAGCTCGCCGTCGCGGCGCGCTCGAACTCGAAGTCGAAGGTGTCGTCGCAGAGCGGCTCCGGCATCTGGCCGTGGAGCTCGCTGAGGTAGGGGTGCTCGAGGGCCGCGTCCACCGTCGCGCGCGCCGCCGGGTCGAAGACGAGCATCTTCGCGAGCAGGTCGAGCGCCGTCGGCGACGTGTCGCGCGGGAAGTAGGACGCGAAGGGGTAGGGCTCGCACTCCGCGCCCGCGAAGATGGCCTTGCGCGCGGCCTCGTGCTGGATCTTCTCCAGCGCGCCGTCGCCGGGCTTGCCGAGCACGGAGACGATGGTCTCGAGCTGGTGCTGCGGCGTGTCGCCGCGGAAGAAGGGCTTGCGCCGGAGCATCTCCGCGAAGATGCAGCCCACGGACCAGACGTCGATGGCTTCGTCGTAGTCCTTCGTCTCGCAGAGCAGCTCCGGCGCGCGGTACCAGCGCGTGACGACGTACTCCGTGAGCTTGCCCGCGTCGTCGTCGAAGCCCCGCGCGAGCCCGAAGTCGCAGATGGCCAGGTCGCAGTTGCTGTTGACGAGCAAATTCGACGGCTTGAGGTCCCGGTGCAGCACGGACGCGCTGTGGATGTACTTGAGCCCCCGCAGGATCTGGTAGAGGAAGTACTGGTGGTGCTGGTTCGTCAGCGTCTGGCGGCTCGTGATGATGCGGTCGAGGTCCGACCTGGGGGCGCGCGGCGGGGGTTTCCGGGCTTCCGGGCGTCTTCCGAGGACGCGGCGCGCGCGCTCCATGAGGTTCGTGACGATGTAGACGTCGGAGAAGTCGATGGTGTTCGGCGGCACCGTGATGATGTCCTTGACCTGCACGATGTTCTCGTGGGACCCGAAGTGCCGCAGCAGCTTGATCTCCCGGAGGATCCGCCTGCGCGCGGCGCGCGTCGGCGGCGCGCGCGCGCGCGCGCGGGGACGCGGAAGCGCACTTGGCGTCGACGAGGTCGCTGAAGACGTTGGCGATCTTCTTGATGGCCACGCGGCGCCCCGTCGCCGTGTCGTCGGCGGAGCAGACGACGCCGTAGGAGCCGCCGCCGATGGGTCGCAGGTTCGTGTAGCGCACGTCGATGTAAAACTGGTCGCGGCCCAGCGGCACGGAGTGGTATTTTCGCCGGAACGACATGGCACCCGCCGGCCGCTCACGCTACCGGGGACGCGCCCACCACGCGCAAGGCGCTCCAGACGCGAGCTGTGGGCCGGACGCGAGCTACAATAGCTTGGCTGTGGCAGCAAAAGCGCTTTGTTTGGCGAGGACGGTTGGGGCAAATACAGCTTGGCAGCCCAATAAGCCCAATAATGATGGGCAGCACAAGAAGGCAGCTCTTGTGATCGTCATCATGGCGGCTCTGGACGCGGCGGACGACGAGATCTCGGCGGCGGCGCTCGCGCAGCTGCAGGCCTGGCTCCAGCAGCGCCCAACGTGGAAGCACAAGCCGCGCCTGGCGCGCCGCGCGCGGCGCAGCGCGTCGACGCCGCCGGCGCAGCAGCGCCGCGTCTTCTTCGACGCCGCGGCCGGCGACGACGACGAGCGCTGGGGCGCCGCGTCCGACGGCGACGACGACGGCCTGGCCGTCGAGGACGAGGCGAAGCGCTACGCCGCGAGCCTCATGCTCCCGGCGCAGCTCGACATGTTCATCGAGAAGAACAAGCTCTCGGCCCTGCGGCGGAAGCGCCGGCTGTCGAACCGGAGCTACCGCGAGGAGATGGCGCCGCTCGGCGTTCTCGGCGCGATCCGCCCGACCCCGTCGTGCGCCGCAGGTCAAACTGGGCCGCGCGTTCGACATGCGCTACGGCCTCACGGTGAGCGGCATCGAGGACCGGCTCCGGGCCCACGGGCGTCTGCTGGGCCCGGTGTCCCCGCGCGCCATCGCACGATCCGCGCGCGACCGGGGACGGACGGTAGCGTAATTCTTAGCCGGACTCGCGCGTCCGCCCTAGATGGCGATCGCGTCGTAGAGCGGGCAGTCGCCCTTCTCGGCGAGGTTGTCCATGTAGGCGCGGACCTTGGGCGGGAAGACCAGGCCCTTGACGATGGTGAGGCTGCGCAGGCGGCTCCAGAGGTCGATGTCGTCGAGGCTCAGGCCGCCCTCGGTGCAGCAGTCCTCGCAGCAGATGAGCGGCTCGAGGTCCTTGAGCTTCTCGTTGACCTCGGCGATCAAGGCCGCGTCGTTGGACTGGTCGTTGTACAGGGCCCAGCGCTCGTCCATGGTGAACTTGTCGCTCTTCCAGTCCGGCTTCTCGTGAGGGCGGCAGCTGGTGGTTCTTGACGAACGCGTCCTTCGACGACCGCGTCACGAACTCGGGCAGGTAGGTCTTGACGTAGCGCGGCCGCTGGAGCAGGCGCAGGGGCTGCTGCACGGACTTCTGCCAGGCCTTGAGGTCCGTGCGGTCCGACATCTCCCTGAACATGCCCGGCGGGCCGTACTTGTCGTCCGCGTCGACGTTGCGGACGATGTCGAGCGACTCGGCGTAGGGCGCGCTCGAGCCGTCGTCCCAGATCGGCGCGATCTTCTTGCCCACGAGGGACGTGGGCAGCGGGACGTCGTCGTTGGCCATGAAGCGCACGTCGTGGCGCACGCCCTTGAGGCCCAGCGCGAGGCGCGCGCGCACGCAGAAGGGGCAGTGGTCGTAGACGTAGAGCACGGGCGTCGGCGTCAGGCTGATCGTCGTCGCCGCGAGGCCGTCGACCGACGCGGCCGCGAAGGCTAAGGCGGTGATGAGAGCGGCGGCCATCGTCGTCACCTCGATCCAGCGCCTCAAGTCCGAGAGATTGATGGCAAATTGAGGCTCAAGTTGAGGCTCAAGCCGACATGGACGCGTCGCCGCCTCCCTTACCCGAGCGAGTCGCGCGCCGCGGACAGGACGCGCAGCCGCGTCTCCGCGAGCCGCGCCGCCGCGGCGTCGACGGCGTCGTCCGTGAGGAGCGCGTCGAAGGTCACGGCCGCAAAGGCGACGTGTCCCACGAAGCAGCAGTCCCGGCGCGCGGGGCTCCGGCCGATCGTCGGCCGGTGGTCCGCGCAGGGGAGGAACGCGCCGTCGAGGTGAAACGGCGGGAGCCGCCGGCCGTCGACGGCGAGCGTGAGCGTCTCCATGACCGGGTTGTGGACGAGCAAGACGTGGCGCCAGACCTCGAGGCACATCTCCCGGTCGTCGGCGCCGTCGTCGTCGACCGCGAACTCGGAGAACGCGTTGCCGGAGCGCTCCGTCGCGAAGACGACGCCGACGCCCGTCGTCCGGCCGCAGCGGATCTCCCAGCCCCGGCCGTTTGCTAAATGCGAGAAGACGACGTTCCGCTCCGCGTCGTCGTCCAGGGCCACGGCGCGGAAGCAGACCTCGAGCACCCAGCCCTGGCCCGGCCGCGGGTTCAGGTCGCCGTGGCGCAGCCGCGCGGCCCCCACGAAGCCCGTCGCGACGCAGCGCGTCGTCGCCGCGTCGACGAGCCACTCCGCGCCCTCCAGGAGCTCCCACGCGTCCGCGGGCGCCGACGCGACGCCGAGCAGCTCCGCCTCGTCGCCGCGCAGCCCCTCGCGCTCCAGGAACGCGCCCTCGTCGTCGCAGGTCGCCAGGACCCGCCGCCGCAGCTTCCAGAGCTCGTCCGCCGACGTGGCCTCGTACGCGCGGAGCACGCGGTCCGCGATCGTAGAATCTTCAAAGGGCGGCGGGAAGCGCGCGACGAACGCGTCCGCGACGCGCCGGCCCGCGGCGGCGTCGCCGCGGTCCGCGAGCTCCTCGAGCGCGCGCGCCGTCTCCGCCGCCGCCGCGCGCTTGAGCGCCGCGCGCTCCGCGTCGGACGACGCCGCGCGCGCGAGCCGGCGCCAGCACGCGACGCGCCGCTCCGGCGGGCACCGCGGCGACGCGCGCTGCACGTCGGCGAGCGCCTTCGCGACGGCCACGTACGTCGTCTCGCGCACGTCCGCGAGCAGGTCCTCGGCGCACGCGAAGGCGCGCTCCGCGTCGTCGTAGAGCTCCTCGCCGACGAGCTTCTTCGCGACGTCGACGCACTCGTTGAGCCGCTCCAGCTTCCAGGCCGTGAGCCGCTTGTGGAGGCCGACGCAGGGATAGACGTCCTTCTTCAGCTCCTCGCGGGAGAAGGGGCAGTAGGTGAAGCGCAGCGCGCCCTGGTCGTCGAGCGCCGTCGTGCGGTCGACGACGTGGCCGGAGGACAGGACCACGGGGTCCACGAGGCGGCAGAGCATGACGTCGTCCATGAACTCCTCCGGCGGGTCCGCCTCGAGCGCCTCGAGGAGTTCCTCCACCTACCAAGCATGACGGTGACGATGTTTCATCGTTTTCCCGGTCAAAATCTCTCGAAAATCGTCACGGCCGCAGGACGCCGTCCTCCACGAAGTAGGCGTCGCCCAGGTGGGCGACGCGGATCGACGAGGACCGACCGATGAGGTCGGCGCCGAGCTTCACGTCCCGGCGCTCGGCGAACTCCTCGCGCGCGACGGCGCGCACGGCCGCGGCGCCATAGAGCGTCTCGACCTGGGCCAGGGGCGCGCCCATGCGCAGCAACGACGCGATGTCGTCGCGGACGACGGCCGCGTGGGCTGCCATATTGGTTGGGCTGCCCCGACCAACCGCAGATGGGGTAAACTTGGCCAGTTGAAGCGCAAATTAAAAAAGGAGTTAGGCCGTCGAGGCTTCGATCTTCATTTGGAGGTGGGCCCCCGACGTCGTCGCGGGGAACTTCGCCGGGCGGTCCGCGGTGACGCAGGTCGGGAGCGGCGCGAGGGGCGTCTCCGGCTGGGGCCCCGTGAAGAGGACGAGCGAGAGCCGCGCGTAGGGGCAGCCCGGCGGCGGGTTCGCGACGCGGTGGACGCACGACTTGAAGACGCCGTTGGTCCAGACCTCGATCTGGTCCCCCGCGTTCACGGTCAGCGCCCGGCACTCGGGCTTGCAGTCGACGAAGACCGTGCCCGGCCGCGTGCCCTCGCGCCCCGCCGGCGCGGGCAGGTCCGACTCGACCTCGACCTGCAGACCGCCCGGCGGCGGCACGACTTGGGCGCCCGCCTTGACGTCGGAGCACTGGGGGAACCCGAGGGCGTTGTGGTCCTGCCAGAGGAGCGTGAAGGCCTGCCAGTCCGTGTGCTCGCCGTAGCGGAGCTGGTCCTTCTTCGGCGCGAGGCCTTTTTGCGAGGGGTAGTACGCGCACCTTAGCCGGTTGAGCCAGGAGTTGCCCCCAAAGGCCTCGGCGAAGTGGGACCGCGCCAGCCCGAGCGCCAGCGCCGTGAGCTCCATGAAGACGCAGTTGAGGCGGAGCATCGCGCGGAAGTACGCGTCGATGGCCTCGTTCAATCCGTCGACGAGGTGGCCGAGGGACGGGTCCCGGCCGTCGCAGAGGGCGATGTACTCCATGGCGTAGTCCGCGGGCCTCGCGACGGAGCTGCGGCCGTCGGCCGACACGCCCGCGCCCGCGACGGCGACGACGCCCTGCCGCTTGTAGCCGCGGCCGCGGTCGTCGAGCACTCCGTCCGCGACCGCGTCGCGCTCGTCCTCCGTCGTCGTCTCGAAGAACTGGCGCGCGAGGCCGTGGGCGTCCTCGATGACGGCGTCGGCGACGCCGTGGCCGACGACCTGCGAGAAGCCGTAGGTCGCGTAGGCGTCGCGCCAGGCCGCGACGACGGCCGCCGCGGCCGGCGGCGGGGTCGCGTCGTCGTCGCCGGGGTTCAGCGACGCGCGCCAGGCGACGTAGGGCGCGATGTCCAGCGTCGGGATCGAGAGCTCCGTGTTGGCGGCCATTGTCTCGGTCGGGCGGCGACAGACGACGGCGCGGTGCGGTCCTTGCCACAGCCAATTGCCACAGCCCGATTCTTCTTCGCCAAAAACAGTGCTTGAGGTACAAGTTGCCCTCCTTCGAGCTGATGGACGCATCCGTGGACGCGCAAGTGTTTGTCTTAGACGGGGGAGAAGGAGTTCAAGGGACGGCGAAAAGTGTCACGCTAGCGCGAGAAAAGTCTCGAGCCATGCGCACCTCTCGCCTCGCCGCGCTCTGCTGCGGCATCCCATGCGCAGCGCTCGTCGTCCCGGACCGGCCGGCCGCGCGCGTCGACGCGCGAGACTACGCGGCCATCGCGGCGGCGCTCGACGCCGGCGAGCCCTTCATCGCCGCCGAAGCCCTGAGCGCTCGCGACTGCGAGGCCTGGACTGATGCGCTCATGATGCAACTCGGCGACGCGCCCGTGTCGAGGCAGCGCCGCGGCGAGGCAGTGGAGATGCCGCTGGGCGCCTTTTTCGAGGACGCGCTTACATCAAGCCACGCTCATCCCTCCTTCCTCTTCGACGAGTTCCTGCTCGACGGCGACGACGACCTCCGCGGCGCCGCCGTCGGCCCGCAACGCGCCATCTTCGGAGGAGAACGAAGTTGGTTCGACCACTTCCCGGAAAGCCGGCGGCCGCGGGACGGCTGCGTCGTCGGCGCCGGCGCCGGCGCGCGGTCGCCCCTGCACCGCGACCCCTACGACTGGACGGGCACGTCGCTCTGCGTCGAGGGATCCAAGGTCTGGCGGTTCGCGCTCGACGTAGCCGACGCGGACCTCGGCGCCTACGAGCTCGCGAGCGAGGCCTTCGGCGGCGACAGCGCGGGCACGCAGAGCGACGCGGACCTCTACGCGCGGCGCGTCGGCGACGGCTGGCCCGAGCCCTACGCGTACGACGACGATCCCGCGCTCGCGGCGACCTGGTCCGCGGCGGCGCGCTTCGCGCCCGACGTCGCGCTGCCGAAGACCGCGCGCTTCGTGACGGCGTTGCAGCGCGCGGGCGACGTCGTCGTCGTACCGCCGCGCGCCTGGCACCAGACCTACGCGCTCGAGCCGAGCCTCGCCGTCGCGTCGCAGTTCTGCGGCCGCCGCGACGGCCCGAGCGTCGTGGCGCACGTCCTCCGGCACGCGCAGGGGGGCGCTTGCCGCGGCGAGACCGACCGGCTGGCCGCCATGGCGGCGACGGACGCGCCCGCGGACGTCGTCTCCGCGCTCTTCGACGCTGTAAGTTGACGTGCAACTTGCCTCCGTGTTGCACAAGAAACTCGAGAGACAGTTCGAGGCAGCCGCCGCCGCCGCCGCACGCGAGAACAGCGCCTCCGCGCCGTCGAGTGCGAACGCAGCCGCGCGCGGCCACGAAAACCATGGGCAAACCGAAGACGTACGCGCCCGCGAACTACGGCAGCGTCAGCGAGGCGCTGCTGGGCCTGTACACGGGCAAGGTGAAAGATGTCGAGCGCGACATGCTCTTCGACCGCTTCACGACGTCGCTCCTGAGCGACGCGGAGCTGCTGGCGAAGCCCATGGTGCTGCTCCTGGGCCAGTACAGCAGCGGCAAGACGTCGTTCATCCGCTATCTGGCCGGCAGGGACTTCCCCGCGATGCACATCGGCCCGGAGCCGACGACGGACGGCTTCGCCGCGCTCATGGACGGCGCGTCCGGCACGGCGATCCCCGGCAACGCGGCGACGTCGAGCAAGTCGCGGCCCTTCCGCGCGCTGTCGAAATTCGGCTCCGCGTTCCTCAACAAGTTCTGCATCTCCGAGCTGCGGTGCGAGCTCACGGACCAGCTCACGTTGATCGACACGCCGGGCATCCTGGCGGGCTCGAAGCAGACCATGGGCCGCCAGTACGACTTCTCCGCCATCGTCAAGTGGTTCGCGGAGCGGTCCGACATGATCCTGCTGCTCTTCGACGCGCACAAGATCGACGTGTCCGACGAGCTCAAGGAGATCATCGAGACGCTCCACGCCCACGACGAGAAGATGCGCCTCGTGCTCAACAAGGCCGACTGTCTAAGTACGGAGGAGATCATGCACGTCTACGGCGGCACGATGTGGTTCCTCGGCAAGGTCTTCAACTGTGCCGAATTCAACCACTGGTTTGGGCGGTCCTGACCAAACTTGAGAATTCTCTAGCTCGGTCACATCGAAGTCGATTCGGCTGATTTTTGGACGAATCGATGGCTCTCGTCGAGTTCTCGAAGCACGGCGGAAGAGTCTGGCACAATCCGTTCAATTACGCTCACATTGAAGTCGGGTTGAAGATTTGAATCGGCACAGGTCTTTACGACGCCCGAGGTCAAGCGGAGCTACATGTCGTCGTTCTGGGACAAGCCGCTGAAGAACCCGGAGCTCGAGCGCTTCATGACCGAGGAGCGGCAGCGGCTGCTGGACGACCTCTACGCGCTGCCCGCGGGCGCGCAGACGCGGAAGATCAACGAGTTCGTGAAGCGCGTCCGCGCGGGCCGCGCGCACTGCCTCCTCTTCAACCATTTGCGCGACTCCATGCCCAAGCTCATGGGCAAGGCCAAGGCCAAGGACCGCCTGATCGAACATCTACCCGACGAGTTCGCCAAGGTCGCGCAGAACTCGGGCGTGCCGCTCCAGGACTTTCCCGACGTCCGGTCGTACCAGAAATTGCTCGCGTCCTACGACCTCTCGGCGCTGCCGAAGGCCTCCAAGGCCGTGCTCCAGGCCTACGAGGACGTCATCGACAAGGACCTGCCGGGCATCATGGGCCACTTCACGGGCCGGAACCAGGAGCCCAAGGACGGCGCGGCCGCGGACTACGTCGCCGAGGATCTCAAGGGCTGGCTCCACAAGCAGTCCACGAAGGGCGCGTGGCAGAAGCGCTACTTCATCCTCAAGGACGGCGAGCTCTTCTACTTCCGCAAGCCCGAGGAGACGAAGCCCTCGGGCGCGCTGGACCTCTCGGGCTGCTCCGTGGCGGCCTACCCGGAGGCGGACCGCGACTTCGTCATCCGCCTCGAGACGTCCGAGCGGCCCTACCACCTCGCCGCGGCCGACGGCGACGAGATGAGCGCCTGGCTCCTCGCGCTCCGCGGCCACTGCGCGCTCCACGGCGGCGGCGGCGGCGAGAAGGCGACCTTCAAGTGAGGTTGCTACTCTTAAGCGTGCGAAACCTACGCGTCTTTGCCCCGCGCGGCCGTCGGCGTGACCTTGGCGGGCGTCGACGCCGGCGCCGGCGCCGAGAGGCTCGCGACGTAGTCCCGGTCGCGCTGCGCGAGGAGGCCCGACGCGTGCGCGCGGGCCTTCGCGGCGGCCTTCGCGGCGGCCTTGGCCTTGGCGCCCCGCAGGACGACGACGGCCGCAACGATGACGCCCGCGACGACGCTCGACGTCCGGCTCGTGTCCGCGTAGCGCTCCATGGCGATCACCGCGGCGCACGCGCCGACGAGCATCGTGACGAGCTTGACGACCTTCTTGAGCACGGTGAGGACGCCCATGGCGATGCCGCCGAGCACGGCGGCGCCGGCCATGGCCGCGAGGATGCGGCAGACGTCCCCGAGGACGTCGAAGCAAACGGCGAGGGACCGCGCGCCCCAGGGCAGCTCGACCCAGGACCCGAGCGCGCCGGCGAAGCGCCGGCCGTCGTGCGTCGTCACGAGCGTAAAGAGCCCGAGGTCGTCGGCGGCCCAAGGTTGCCACGGCGCGCCCGTCGGCAGCAGCGAGTAGATGCCCGTCGTCGGCTTGCGCCGCGCGCAGGCGGTGGCAGGCGTCGCGTAGTAAGAGTTGTGTTCGACGAGCTCGTGGTCGACGCAGTAGGCATGGAAGCTTTCTTCCGGAAGCTTGTGTTTGTGCAAGTACGCGGCTCCGGCGAACAGCGCCGCGCCGAGCAGCAGCGTCTTCGGCGTCGCACCCATCGTACGCAGCGCGACGTCTCGACGTTTCTGGCGCTCGACGCGTCGATGCTCTCCGAGTTAGCGCGGTCTGTGTTGCACGGGAGCTGCAGACCTCAACACTTGACTTGCGGGTCGTCTTCGGCCGCCAGCTTCTTCGCGAGCTCCGCGTGCACCCTCGTCGACATGCCTTGGATCGGTGGTAAGATGCGGAAGCCCTGCATCGTGTGCAAGCGCCAGAAGGATCAAGTGCTGGCAGAGTTCTGCGAATGGGCATGCGACAAGTGCCAGAAGGGTAAAGGCCCGAAGAAGGGCGACCACGCACCCCAGATCCACAACGTGTGCTTGTTCCGTGAGGACCTCGACTGGAAAGCGAAGGGGGTGGCATTCGCTGGTAAGTGGAACGAACCCGTTGCGTGGCACTGCCCGGCGTGCCGCGCCCAAGATCTTGAGCAGCCCGCGGCCTCCGAGTCGCCCGCGGAGCCTGCGCCCGTGGAGCCCGCGGTGCCCGCCGCTCCCGAGCCCCCGCAGCCCGAGGCCGAAGACGACGCGTCCGCGGCGCCCGCGCCGCCGGCGCCCGCGGCGCCCGCGCCCGCGGCGCCCGCGCCCGCGGCGCCCGCGCCCGCGCCCGCGCCGCGCGCGGATTCCAAGAACGTGCCGCCCGCGGATGAAGCTGTGTCGGATAGCACTGAAGACCTTGCCCCCCCGCCGAAGCGCGCGCGCGCGAGCCCGCTCAAGGAGTGCCTCGAGGCGCTCCGCGACAAACTCGGGAAAGTGGCCGGGCAGACCTTCGAAGTCGACGACGCGTTGGCTTGGTGCCGCGACAACGGCGCCGAGGAGATCTCGCACATCGTCGATGCCGGCGCCGAGGGCGTCGAAGCCTTCGTCGCCCACCTCAGCCTCAAGAGCCTCAAGTTCCTCCCGGCCCTGCGCCTCAAGCAGATCCTCGAGCAGGACTTCGCCGCGTAGGGCCGGGCTCACATGAGGGGCTGCCGCGCCTCTAAAACAAAACTCCCACTTACCTCCCCCGGGGGATGTTCAGGTGCGCCTTGCACGTCGGGCAGGTGGGCGCGCCCGGCGCGTGGGCGATCCAGCTCTGGATGCAGCCCTTGCAGAACGCGTGGGCGCACGCGGTCTCGTAGACGACCTTGCCCGCGAGCTCGTCGAGGCAGATGGCGCAGAGCGCGTCGCTGCGCGGGTCCGCCGCGCGGCCGCCGGGGAGGTCGTCGACCCGCAACCCGATCTCCGGGTTGTTGTTCGCGTTCGCGCGGATCATGCGCTCCAAAAACGCGTCGCGCGTGTCGACGGCGATCTTGTGCGCCGCCTCGAGGTATTGGCGCCCCTCGGAGTTCCGGTCCGCGCGGATGCGCGCCAGGCCCAGATTCGCGTAGGAGAGGCCGAGCTGCCGCCGCGCCTCGCGGCTCGGGCCCGCCTCGACGATGATCCGCGTCCGCTGGTCCACGGACCGCTCGAGGAGGTCGACGGCGCGCGCCAGCGACGCGTCGTCCGTCGACGTCTGGAGGATGGTCGTCGCGAAGTTGACCCAGGCGCTCGCCTGGGCCGCGAGGAGCCGGTGCGAATCCGCCCCTCCCGCGACGGCGGCCGCGGCGCGCGCGACGCAGGCCTCGAACTTGGGCAGCGACGCTACGGCGCCCTGGAGCCGCCGCGCTATCGTCGCCTCGCCGACGAGCGCGTCGACCTCGAGGCCGGGGCCCGGCGCCGCGCGGACGCACGCCGCGTAGGCCTCGCGCGCTTTCTCGAACTCCTGCGTGAGCTGGTGCGCGCGTCCAGCGGCGAGCCAGGCCTTGCCCGCCAGCCCGGCGCGGGCGTTCGGCGCGGCCTTGCCCGCGAGCGCCGCGGCCTCGCGGCAGAGCGCGGCGCTCGCGCGCGGGTCCGCCTCCTGCGCGTCGAGGGCCCTCGCGTAGGCGAGCTCCGCGGCGACCTCGTGGCAGCCAAACCGGTGGCGCGCGGCGTCGCGCGCCTGGCACGCGCGGCTCGCGTAGCACGCGACCTTGCAGCGGCCGCAGCGGAGGCGCCCGGGCGCGCCGCAGCCGCAGGCGCACGGCGGCCGGAGGCTCGCGGCCGCCGCCGCCGCGCCGCGGTCGTCGGCGACGCCGCAGACGACCGTCGCCGCGGCCGTCGGGATGCCGCCCTCGGGGACCTCCTCGGCGACCGCCGCGGCCGTCGTTATGCCGCCCTCGGGGACCTCCTCGGCGACGACGGGCTCCGGCGCGGCGGCGACCGCATCCTTTTGGTTTCGGCTGCGCCAGAGCCACCAGGCCGCGGCGGCGGCAGCGGCCGCCGCGGCGACGCCCGCGCGAGCGCGCGGATGCATGCGCAGACTGCTCAGTTCACGCCGACGCCACAGCCCATGTTCGCACTAGGTGGCGGAAGTCGCTACAAAGAGCTCCCATCATGCTCTGTGCAAAAGTGCAAGGCCTGTCGCGACATGTCGCTTGAAGAGATATTGAAGGGCACTATTTTACCACGCCTCCCGCTTCTTGGGCCGCCGGCGCTTGCGCACGTGCATGCCGCGGAC